GGAGTTCACACAGCAGGGCAACTGTTCTATCAATGACATACACTGAAAAGCAAATACTGAAACCAGCCCCATCCTTTCTAAACTGACCCAACCAAGCACACCTAAACACACCACAGGATGTCTCCCAGGCCTGCATGATCCAACCCACAGACAGCTGGAAATGCAATTGGATTTGGAACCCAATTTTCCTTCAGCACGTGCTGTAGGATAACTGGGTTACTGTTTCAAACCAGAATCCAAGTACAGCAAGAGTATAAGAAGCACTGACCTTTCTTTGCTAGGTTGCTGTTGGGTTCGTACTTCTCAATCAGCACCTGAACTTGTTCTTGTTTTAGGGGTGGATAGAGGATCTCGTTTAACCGTGGGTCACGCTGCTTCAAATTGATGAAGTCCATCATCTGATCAACAGTAAGGTAAGGTTTGCTCTTGGCACCGCTGCAGAAAAATTAAAGCGACGGCAAAGGCATTAAAATACATTTCCTTGAAACCTTGTTCAACGTTCTGAAACTTCCCAGGGAAACCGAAACAAGATTCAAAGTATCAAACAACAAAAACATCCTCCTGCTGTGTCTCGGGGATAATTTACTTTGCCAGCAGGTACCGACAAGGACTCTCCATCAAACTTGTAGCAGGAAGATCTTTAAAAACCTTCAGCATTACTGACATCAATGGGAAGACTCAGAGCAATGCTAAAAGCCTTTCATTCCTCTGAATTCCTGGAATTAAGTTATTTAAAACAGTAAAAGAGAAAACGACTTGGAATTCCATCCCGAGCTTGCCACAAACACTGTGTTTTTTTGTTTTGTTTTTTTTTTTTTTTTGCTACTCTTAATTAAGCTTTTGGGGGTGATTATACCTATTCTCGTGCCTATTGCGTGCTGTTACTGCTTATTACTCTTCTTCCTTTTACTTTCTTGGAAGACTTAACTACCCTGATCCATGTGAAAAAAACCAAGACCTGGCAATTCTGCTCCTCTAGGAACAAATCCTTTAAAACTCCAGCCATTAGAAACGGAGCAAAAGCTTGGGATAGAAGGAACCCAAGATCAAATAACTTCCTTGACAGTTCAATCTGTTACTAGCAAGCACTGAGTGTTGCCATAGTCTAAATAACCCAATCACCACCCCCAGCCCAGAAAATCTGTGAATGGGGAAAATAAGTGAATAAAAATAAATAAAAGAATGTCTTTTCTTACAACTCAGAGAAGATGTGGTCGATCTCAGGCCGAGGGCAGAGGTTGTTTAGGAACACTCTGTACACTTCTGGCGTGAAGTCGTCTTGAGGGATCGAGTCATTCTGTGAAATAGGGGAGGGGAAGAGTGAAAGAGAGATACAGCACTTTTACACATTCTTTGTAAACAGATCACTCACTATTTGGCTTCCTCAGGTTGCAGGAAAGAAACGAAAAGGAGCCCAGATTCTGCAGAATAATAAATCCTGCTGAACAGCAGAGCAGCTTAGAGGGTACATCTTTAAAAAAACCCACCCCAACACATCTATCAGCTTCCACAAGGCACAGTTATCTCTGTCTCTGAGCACTTGCCAAGGAGGAGGGAGGGACATCTCCCCATCTTTGGGGAATAGATGTCGTGTCTATTTACATGACCAGGGTTCCTTGTCACTCACCGACCCGTCCCCACGACTCGGGTTCGCGGAGTCTCTCCGTTTGTCGAGTGTGTCGAGTTCCCGTTCTGAGTGTGTCGAAAAGGTGTGTAGAAACAGGATTTGAGAGTCACATTGCGTACACCGTTAGTCTAAAAAAATATTTCCTTTTGATAAAAATGTTCCCCTATAGAGGACATACCAGGGGTTTTCTTGTCTCACATTTTCTATAGTTTAGAAAAACTTAAATTTAGTCCTGCTTCTGGATGACACTTTCATCATCCTCATTAAATTTTTTCTGTGAAAAAAAAAAAAAAGCTGAATTGCTGTTCCTAACTGGAGAGACTTGAAAAGTCTTTTGCATGAAGCCTGAACATCCTTAATCCAGAGCTACGACACGTGATGCCTCTCAGCCCCCAAACCTGCCCAAATCTGACGGCCTGGGGAAGGGAAACCGTAAGTTGGACAAAAAGCTGTTTGCCTGCTGCTTGCCTGCCACCCCACGGGCCCCTGGCTGTGTCAAAGGCAAAGCTGCTCACGGGGAAATCAGTGCTTTTATTTATTCTGCCTGTTTGACGCCGTTGCCAAGGGAACAGGAAGCAGCAGTTCAAGCCTTTGCGGGACGGAAGGAAACTCGTCTCGATTTTTCCTGCTTTAGGTTAAAATAAATAAACGAACGGCACAGGCGGCGCTTTGTCTCCTTTCATCCGCGAAACCCGCAGAGGCTCCAGGGGGTTCTGTCCTCTGCTTCTGGCCACCAGTGCAGGTTGAACCTGACCCAGCTCACGCTGGGCTCAGCCTGGCATCCCATCTCCAAGGTCACCCACCAGCCATCACACCCTGGTGCCCTCCTTTTTTCTTGGCTGCAGAGAACTGGTTCAAACCCCACCTGCCCAAACACACCGTGTACATTTTCCGGTGGGATCAGCTCACTGAGCCAGCTCACACCAATGGCACCACTGCTAAATGTGGTGCAGGGGTGGATGGGTTAGAGGATGGAAATAGCTCCTTTCAGTGCCACTGAACTGCGGGTGAACCTGCACTCTGAAGAATTTGAGCCGTGCTGCGTCCAGCTGAGGGCTGGACTGCTGAGACCTGTGCTCTCCTGAAGGCCAGGATTCTCACAGATTGGGAATTTTCTTGTTAAAGTTGGCACTCCACTCTCTGCTGTTCTTTGTGCCCATAATCCCTCAGCCAGGGCTTTTTTAAACACTGATTCTCTGATCACCACAGAACTACAGTCTCCCATCAACCTACTACATGTTTTTCCTTTGCAGGAGATTTGAAGGTGCTCAGCTGAGCAAATGTGGGTCTCCTCCCATAACCTGAGATCCAGGCTTTGATTTGCCACCAGGTTCCAATTAAGAAAATACCCCTCAGTTTCCCTCCCTGTATCTCCAAAGGCCTCCTACGAGGAGGAAAACCAGCACGAGCCTTCAGGCATAAGTGCAGATAGTTTTTAAAACTACTTCCTACCAGCACCATCATCTGTGGGCTACAAACCACAGTTATCGAGACGGGAGATGAAAGCTTTTGCCACCCCAGGCACAACCTCAGGCAACTATATTTGGATTCCCCAAGCCCGTCTGCTGAGAGGGATTAAAATACACTGCCCCCTTCCTCAGCCTGGTCTGAGCCATCCACGTTTCAGAGGAACCACCCACACGCCTTATGGGCTCCTCTCCTTTTTGAGACCAATGAACAAAGCACGAACTCACAGCACCACATGGGAGCACCCCTCGTTTCCAGCTTTGCTTAACACTGGCATTCAGGGTTATTCTCTGATTAAGACTCCCCACTCATTTCAAGCACTGCTGATTTAGGATTTGTCTGATAACCTGCCTGCTTGTGCAACAACATCTGTATCCAGTCTCTTACACGTCTGAGAGCTAATTCCAATTATTTGCACAGACGGGACTCAGCAGTTGGATATTTCATTTTAATGGTCAAGCTCACTGGTGCCTCACTGTGAACCTCTACATTAACTGCAAGGCAGAGACCAGTCCTCACAGACAAAAAGGCAGCTGAAACAAAGCTCTTCGAATTCTGCCGAAGGCACTTTTAACCAAAATGAACAAAAATAACCAACAATAACAAAAAGCAAACCCCCCTGATATCCACATCTGCTCTTCCAAGGCTTTGTTGTCCTGCAGTACAACAGGGCAGAAAAGCTGGAAGTCGAAATTAAGAACTTTTCCTTTGGGTTCCTGTTTATTTGAGCAAGTCAAGAGCTGCAGCTGAAGTTCTGATTTTCTTCTATTCCATCACCTCCATGAGATGCAGTTTCACACTTCTACAATATTTTTCAAAGATGACCAACACAGCTTTCTTTGGTGCATGCAGAGCATTTCTCTTTTGTCCCGACCAAAGAAAAGATCTACTTTACACTGTGAATAATTTCCGAGATGGTATCCCAGCAACAAGTAGCCAGCAATGTGTTTGTGAAATTGGCCCTACTTAAATAAACAGCACAGAAAGGCTGCAGTTTCTTTCAAGGCCTCCAGTGATATTTAGATTTTCTTTTCAGAGAGATGCAATAAACAGAAGTAATAAATCAACTGATTTAAAAAGCAGTGCCTCAGAGGTTTCTTTGCGTATTTCGTATCCCTTTTACTAACAATTAAATGAAAACCCACCTTTAAAATTATTCTTTCCACGTTTCTAAACCTCACAACCTAACTCTAGGTAAGACGATTTTAATCTTTTATACATACTTTGCAAACATTCCTTGGAACTGTATGGAATTAAGCTCCCAAATGTATGAAGGAAGGCCTCACTGGCTTGTGAAGATTTTGCTCCACTGTTCTTCTGGAGCTGCAGGAATTGGTTTTATTTAACAGCTGGGGAAGCAAACATCCAGGAAACCTCACAGCATGTAGTTTTCTACAAATCAAGGGATCAGGAGATGCAGGTTCTCCTGACAGACCAGTTCTGCCCCAGCTCCTGGAGCCCTGAACGTAGGAATTATCCTGCAGGAAGCTGCTTGGGGGAGAATCTCCAGCTGTGAGGAAAACCCTGCTTGAACGGGGGGCAGGTCTAGGTGACCCTCTGTGGTCCCTTCCAACCTTACCCATTCTGTGATTCTGTGACTAAAGACATCTGCACTCCAGCATTAACTGGAATCACCTGCTCCAGCTCATTCCTTTTGGGGTGAGGCACCATCCTGCAAGCGCTCTGGGCTGAGGAGAGCTCCTGGGTTAGCAGGATACAAGGGCTGCATCCCCACTGCATTAACAGCATTTCAGCACTTACTTCATGCTCCTTTCAGATAAGCTACAGTGAGTGTGGCCAGTCACTCATGTGAGATAACACCATTAGCTGCACCTCCAGCTAACACTGCTCTGAAATCGTGCCGTGAAAATTGGGCAACAGCCACTGATTCTTAAAATACCCTCACAGGATTTCTCCAGGACAGGCCACACGACCTCTGCCCTTGCTTTTACTCCATTCATACCTCTTCCAGGAGCTCCTGGTCCCTGCACAACTTCAAGTCAAAGGTACTCAGGTGTGCAGATGGGTATCAGGAACTTCCGTGTGGGGAAGACAGACCCGCCGCTGAGGAACTTTCCAGCAGCAAAGCCAGCACAGCACGATCAGCCTTGAGCAAAATGTCAGTGGAGAGCAAACACCTCCAAATGCAAGCAATGCTCGTGTGAATAAATGCAGATGCTCACCCTGGAAGATGGAAGATTACAGGCTTCCAGCGCCGTCTCCACCCGCTTTCTGTCAGAGGAGAACAAGCGGTAAATGCTGCAAAATGGAGACAAAATGGAGAGAACTGGTTAAAGATAGGTCCATGTGGCTTAAACACTGAATATCTCTTACCAGTCTATCACATCTTTAGCTCAGGCTGCTCAGTAACAGAGGTGAGTTTAATGGTGCTCACAGCGAGTTTAACTGTGCCCCCACCAGCCCCTCTCACAGCAGACAGTGATCCCAGAAAGCCACCCCTGCTCTCTTCCCATCACGACAGTGACATGCAACTGGAATCTATTCACCCTCATGACATGTCTCTGAGGGAAAGAAATTATGGTGTGTTTTTTTTTTTTTATTTCACAAGTGGAATGAGCGAGGGCAGAGAAGTGGAATGTCTCGCTCGAGATCCCAATCTACGCCCGAAGGGCATTCGAACAGAGACATCCTGAGTATCACTGCGATACCACACACTCCCTGTGATGCATCCTAAACAGCTGGAAGAGTCATTGTTCTACACATAGGGGCCACATGCTCATCCCAAACATATATTCACGCTCAAAAGCCAGCAGAGACTGCACATGGTAAGGCAGGGGAACAGCACTTACTTCTTCAGAGGAATGCGCCCCTCTGGAGTCACCTGCAGCTTCAGTTTTGTGTAACTGTGGAGACAAAAGCATCCCAGGTCAGTTTGACACCGTTTCCAAGGATCTCTCCACCAGCTTTCCAGCTCAGGGCCAGTGCTCTGCTCATATGGCAAGTGCCACTCGGCTCTTTTTCCCCAAATGAACCTTCTAGGACACCATCAATGAGCAAAACTCTTTTCCTTCTCTCCCGTCTCACTGAGGGGGCAGGATGAGGACAGGTCTATCTTTGCCCAGATTTTTCAGCAGGCTTTCAATCAGTTCAATCAGGAGTCACCCAGTTGCTTCCAGGAGAAGCAACCACTGTGTGATGCAAGGACTACTGGTTACCAGTTCAGTGCCTACAGCAGCCTGTGAGGAGCACAACTTCGAGGGCTTCACCTCTCCCACTTGAGCAGGATTAAAACCATAAATGATTTTTTTGCAGTAACGTGATCTGGTGAAAAATGTGGCAACACTTAAAACAGTTAAAAGGATTTTTTCTTTTTTTTTTTTTGGTTAAAACACCCCACTTTTTCACTTTGCCCACTGGTCTACCAAAAGAAGAAGAAACTGCATGGCTCTAATAAACTTTCCTTTTCTTCACAGCAGAAAATGCTATTAGCAACCACTTCAAAAACAAAGTGCATGCTAATACCCCATAGGAGCATTTTCACAAATCCTTGACTCCCCATGGGCATCTTTTGGAAACTGAAGTGTTTTGTGCTACTGTATCACCAAACAAAAATATTATCCCCTCTGCCCCATTTCCCAGTACTGGGTTGGATTAAAAACAAAGGAGTCACAGCAGTTAGCCCAAAAATAAAATAAAATAACCCAAAAAGGTTTCTTCCATTTTGTCTTCTATTTTTTGAAAAATTTGACTACACTCCGGTCCCATTCAGTGCCTTCCTCTGCAGCCAAGGAAGCCAGAAAGAACAGAAAATGGGAGAAAACTTAAAAAAAAAACACCTTCTTTCCTCCCAAATCAACCCTATTTTTTCCCAGCTGACCCAACCTCAGGAAAGCTGTTTATAATTGCACCTCCAAGGTGCTGAATGCCATAAAGAAAACGCCCCTGAATTCTGCTCTAATGCAATGTGGTTTTCTATTTCAACCAAAGGGTTCTGATAGGATTGCAACCAACCCTTTGCTTTGTACAATAATTATAATGGGAAAATAATTTAATCCTCAAAGTCAGAGATTTCTTAAGTGACTGATTTGGCATCTGCGCAGAGGACCTGGGAAACCTTACGGTTTCCAAGTGATTAATTAATTAGTGGGAAAAGACACAGGAATGCCACGCTTGCCTGCTACTGAATCTATGCAATGTGTCCAGTGACTTCATCTTTAATTAATATTGCCTGAACAAGTGCCAAAGAACAGCTCCAAGTCAGGCTGGCCCTACTGCACTGTGGGACAACACGTTCCTCCTCGGGATTGGACAGGAAAAGGCCCGTTAGGCACAGCCACTTCCCACCCCGGAAGTGTTTCCATCTTTTTTTCCATCTTCCATTTCTTTTTGGTTTCCCTAACGTGCCACTGGCTGACACGGTGTCAGGAGACACAAAGCTGTGGCTCCAGCAACATCCAGCCTTCAAAGCTTCCTCAGGAATTTCTGCTGACTTCAGCTGCACCACAGCAAATCTTATGAGAGGAAAACACACACACACATCCCCTCCTTCCCAGAAAACGGACCTATGAATGAATATATGGGATTAAAGTTAAGCACTTGGGAACTTTTTGATTAAGTATGGATGCACCTAAGGAAAGTGAGCACGCACAGCCTCAGAAAGGTTGGGAAAAGGGTGGGTTAACTTCTTTTCTGGATGGAGGCTGTTTTAGGAACCTAAGGCCCAGCTTACTATATAGCTGGACTGAGCCTCTGCCTGCAGGCAGGAATTAAAAGGTGTTTGGGGGAGACCCTAAGCTGACTTTAATCAGCCAACTCATAGGGGAGGGTTCACCTCTTCTTTTAGAACCCCAAAGGGCCAGCAAGTACCCCAGCTCAGCACCAGCACTTTCTGGCAGGCTCTGCCGAGCTGTTCTCAAAGCCATCACTTCCACAAAACTCCGTCGGCCGGCCGTGCACTGATCATCAGCTGAGAAGAACTCATCTCAGATTTAGCTCTCTCCCCTTTCAGGCCTGTGTTCCACCCCAAACATCCTCATGAACAGCTTTTCTGCTTTGCTGAAAGCAGCTCCTAATCTGCTCTCTCTGCCAAGCCACCCAGATGAATGGAGTCCCTCCCAGCTTCCCTCTGAATCCCATGAAACCCAGAGAGATCAGACGGAGGAAAATGGACTTCTGGCATTTCTCACTTCTTTAATCAGTGGCAGAAAAAAAGGAAAATAAACCAGAAACTAGTGAGTCCAGAATATTCTTTCATTTTGAATAGAGAGCTTCATGCTACAGCTGAAGCAACAACTCAGCTATACAGGGGGAGGACAGCATTTAATTCTGTTTTTCCTGCAAGGATTTAGTAGCTTGCAAGAAGAACCCTAGCGAGAGATTTCTGTTTAAACAACCCCTAGATAGGCTTTCTAAAGCCACAAGAAAGAACGGCTGTGTTTACAGAAGTGTCGAGCCATCAAAGCAGAAACAATAGCTGACAATGTGACTAACAAAGGAGGAGGAAAATGACGCAGGGAAAAGAGCAACACCCACAACTTCAGACTCCACGGCCACTTACGCTTTTTCCAGAAACGCGTCCCTCGACATGTTCTGTGCCAGCAGATTTGTTGCCAAACTGAACACTTCATCTGACCATTCCTACAGAGGGAAAACACGGTTAAGTGAGGCTTAGTTGGGATGTTTACTTGCACAATGCAATGTATTTTCGGAAACCGTCCTGTCGGTGAAAAGAGCCTCATTAAAAGCCTGAACTGGATTTTTCCAATTACGGCTTCCCCTCCTCATCGGAGAGACCTGATTTGCTCTTGCTGCAAGAAAATGAAGATTGTTACAAATTAATGGACTCACTTGATCCAGGATCTTACCAGCCAACACGAGAAAACAGGCTTGAGAAAACCCCAACAGCAGAAATGTACAGGAATACTTTGGAATTACTCTGATGTGCAAGGAAGATGCAACTCCAAACAGAGCTGCTCTTTCCCCTTACTGTACATCCTTACAGTGATCCTATCCCTCACTAGGTTATTTTTCCCTATTTTTACCCTGATGTAGGGAACAAATGTCACAGGACCACACAGTGGTTTGGGTTGGAAAGGACCATCAAGAGCATCTGGTTCCACCACCAGAACCTTCCACCAGACCAGGTTACTCAGGGCCCCATCCAGCCTGGCCATGGACACTTCCAGGGATGGAGCAGCCACAGCTTCTCTGGGCAAGCTGTGCCAGGGCCTGACACCCTCACAGAGAAGGATTTCTTCCCAACAGCTGATCTAACCCTGCCCTCTGGCAGTTTAAAGCCATTCCCCCTTGTCCTATCCCCACACACCCTTGTCTAAAGCCCCTCTCCAGCTCTCCTGGAGCCCCTGGAAGGTACTGGAAGGTGCCAGAAGGTCTCACCCGGAGCCTTCTCTCCTCCAGGCTGAACAGCCCCAGCTCTCTCAGCCTGTCTCCATAGGGAAGGTGTTCCAGCCCTTTGATCATCTGTCCTCCAGCTGCTCATGAGAAACATCCCATCTCTGCCTGCAGGCTCTGCTCTTCCCATGGCTCTCCCTCACTTTTCCTCCCTTTATTCTCCTGACTTATTTGCTCATTTCTGTGCACATTGCTGAAGAGCTTCCCTCAGGTCCCTGACCTTTCCCGCGTTCCCAGCATGGCTGATCCAGGGCTATTTTGTGGAGTTTAAGCTCTCACTGCTTGTCCTCCCTTGCAGGTCTCTCCTGAAGCTTTTCATTGACAACTTCAGCCCATTTTTCCTTGCTAACTCCGTGCTTATTTACAGCCTCTCACTGCAAACCTCTTTAATCACAGCTGTGGTTTGGGATTGGCTTCATTTCACCTTTTAAAACCAAGGGATGAGAACAAGCAATGCCTTTGCAAACACTGCCTTACTTAATGAAGTTTTCCGAGTTTGCTTTGAAACTAAAAACACATTTCCTTTCATGAAAGCCCAAATCCAAAATTCCCATTGCCCACACAGCCTCTCACACTCTGGGAGATATTCCCTTCTCCTTGGGTTTTCTTTTTCTTGAGGAAAAATTAAAAAAAAAAAACCAAAACCCAAAACCAAAGGGGGGTGGATTTCATTCTGACAAAAAAGGACAATGCAAAGTATCACTGACTTCCAGTCAAAGCAGTATCCCTACATCAAGTAGAATTGTTCTGGAGGCAAACCAGCGTTGCTGAGATAACTCTCCCCTCCACCTTCTCGTGACCATTTCCATTTTCCTTCTTTAATTGTTTTTTTCCTTCTTAGGTCCAATTTGAAGAAATCAGGGGTGTGAGGAAGCAGAGGAGGAGGAGGAGTCTGGTCCCTGAGCAACACAACTGCTTCGCTGTGACTCTTGGAACAGAAAGCATATTAAGTGCAGCATCTGTTTTTCTTCTTGGCAACTCATTTTTCCAGGCTCAAAATAGGCTCATCTTGTAAACACTGCTTTGTTTAGGCACTAATAATAGCAGCTCAAACATCTCCCTCTGACACTAAGGGCTGCAGAGATTAATGGCAACACAAAATACTATTTGGAAATTGAAAATATGTTGGCTTTCAACAGATCCTGATAGACTTTTGTTTTGATCTCGCTGGTCGTGATCTCGCTGGAAACCAGAACACCGGGTAGAAAACAGGAGCAGGGCACTTCAGGAGTATCCCACCCCCCAGCTCTTCCTCCTCATTGTCTGAGTGCTTGTTGACAGGAATGTAAAAGGAACTCATTCATTATGTGCCTGTCACACGCATTATTTGTATCAACACGTCCCTTTCCTAGCTCTGGCTCTCCCCAGACATTCTAAGGGCTACCTGCAACGAGTCACAAGCACCACTTGCTCATTGTCTCTCCCGCTTCAGGGTCGTCATTCCAGCCACCGCAGAGCCACAGCCAAAAAAGCCAGGAGCAGACCAACCTGCCCAGGGTCACATCATCTTTCCAGCAAACCCTCAGCAGGAGAGGAAACAAGAGCTCCGAGCACAGAGCCGAGGAGATGAAGGAGGTGCTTGGGCCTGCCTTTGATGGGCCTGGATCAAGCTGTGAGTCAAGATGTGCCTGGCTGCTTTAGCCACCAAATGGCCCCGTTTCCTTGGGGTTGCTGCAGGGTAAGAGAGCAAAGCCCACTCTCTGACTGCAGGAACGAGGCTCTCTGCAGCAGCCACTCCACGAGAGCACTCCAGGGGTAGGGACTGGTGTGGGGGGGAAGAAGACAGCCCAAAGCAGAGAGGTTAAAACAGCCCCTGGATCACTGTGGGAAGCTCCTGGACAGACTCAACACAAAAGGAAAATACAAATCTAGGGGGTTTTGTAATAGGAATGCACCAGTGCCAACAAACGCAGCTTCTGATCCCGTGTGGCAGTGGAGGGACCCAGCCTTCTGATACCCAACTCCAGGCAAGTCCCATCCAACATATTAAGAGCTCCCTGACCTCGATCCCCTCTTGGCTGCATCCTGTTCATTCATTTTACATCACCCCTGAGAGCTTTACTGAGGAGTTCCTCTGCTGCTCTGGGCTCTGGCAGGTGGAATACAAGCAGCAGTTAGTCGTAGGTGTGTTGCTGAGGGAAGTGATTCCTCTCTTCCATTGCATCCATCAGGATACCAACCAAGACATGGAGCACAGCACAAGAAAAGAGACCTTTTTCATAGGACAAGACAGCACAGAGACTTGAGAACACTTCCTTCAAATCAGAACTGACTATGTGTGAAGGCAATGATCCTCTCACAGTTCTTTTCGGTGGGAGGTTAACAAAGCAAGCTGCTGAAATTCTACACTCTCATTTCCCTATGAATTTTATTTAAAAAAAAAAAAAGCACATCAAATGGATGTGAATTTATATGGTTTGCTTCAGCATTTTATTCCACTGATCTGGGGAAGCTAGAAAAATAAAGATGTATGCTGGAAAGCACGGTATAGTGTGACTGGTGAATCATCTTTGATGACACCATTTTCCTCATGGAGGAATTCATCAGCTCCTGGGGATGGATTTCATCCAAAGCTTATCAAACCGAGGAGAACCAGATTTCCCTGGGCTCTGGAGAGGGGCCTGTACGGCCAGGACTGGCCATGCAGCAAGAACAGGGCTGACACGAGAGGCACAAAAGAAAGGGAGAGGAAAGGGATGGGGGAAAAAAGCCACTGGATTTGGGAAGAGAATGGAATACTGCAGAGCAGACAGAGGTTGATAGGTTGGGAATGGGGACAGAGAAAAAGAGCACCTGCTCAGAACAGGGTTAGAGAATAAACCTCTGTCTTTATCGTGGCTTCTGCAGCACTCTGTGGATGCTCACAAATAAACCCTAGCCCAGCACAGTCTCATTTCTACCTATCTGGTACACCTGAGGGAAGCTGAATAACCCAGGACTCGTATTTTCCTAATTTTCCCATAATTTGGCCAGTGGAAGTGGCAAACAGAGTTCGTAGCAGAGAAGGAAGTCTTCTGTAAAGGGAAAAAAAAACCCTAACTGAATAATTTAAACTGCCTCATTAACAGCACTACAGTTTACTTTGCCTCGTCAACTCCAGCCACACAGCCTGAAAAATAAGGTATCACAAAATGCAGGGTTAAGAAAACCAAACATTCATGCACTGAAAAGGAAAGGTGGGGGAGATTTCCACTGGCACTTGCTTTCCCTGGAACATCAGAAGGAGGAAGGGTCAAAATTGGACGTGTGGCATCAAAAACATCTTGTACTGACATTCCTTCCCAGAGCTCCCTGAAGGGATGATTTGTGCCTTATGTGCTTATTTATTGCAGCTTCTCTGAGTCACTGCATGGGTCTGGGAGACAATAAGGACCAGAGTCTGTGGCCTGGCTCATTTGAAGATGGAAGACAGGTTTAAAAAAAAAAGAGGAATTTTTAGCTGCATTCAACAGTGATCAAAACCGTTTTCATTCAGACAATCAGGATATTGAACATGACCTCAAAGCAAGCACAGCTAATCTGCAATGCTTTGAAAACTGCACCCCCAGGCCACAGCGCCCAACTGATCAAATATTCACTTATTTGCTCTCCTGCCTCTAGAAATGAAAAGCAAGACTTGAGACTCTTAGGAGTTACTCAAGATTTAGAGCAGCCAAGCTTTTACTAAACACGATTTTATCTACTGTGTTTTAAGGTTCCATTCTCAAACAGAAAATAGTCGTAAAATACCAATTTCTGTGCTGTTTTAGCAAATGGATCATGGCTCACTGGCGGCTGCCTGGCCAGGAAGGTGCAGGAGGAAGACATACAACGCCTGATTTGGGTTATTTTCCCTGCTCCCTGAGAAGGTCTAACAGTTCCTGATGGAGAAGCTTCAGCATACCTTTTTCTTTGCCTGAAGAGTTTGTTTCCATCGTTTTCAGTGTTAGGATTCCTCCCCCACCCCTGCAAGTTCCAAGCCCGAGGACAGCACCCCCCTCTCAGCTGCCCATGGGCCACCACCACCAACTCATTTGGTTTCTATTCTTTCATATCACAACAATACTGAAAATCTTTTTTTTTACCAAGCTGACCAACTGGCTAAAGAAGTTTGGCAGAGACAGAAACTTGGCAAGCAAAAATATCCTCCCCCAGTTGAAGGCTTTCACACCATGACCTTTTGGTACCTTGGTCTCACAGTCCTTGTTGCCTGTGAGGTGATAAAATAACTCCCCGCTGTTGTTAAATCACAGCAGGCTACAGAGAATCTTTCTTCTTAGCACAATCTGGTGAACTCAAGGGTGCAAAAATGCACATAGCCAAGTGTGTTGTGTGCATGGCTATCTGGGGGCTGGGATCAGAGTGCACCCACGGGGATGGAAGTGGAAATAGGAGCAGATTTGGAACGTCAGTTCGAAATAGATAAAGCAAAGAGCTCCCACTTCAGTAAATTGCATAGAAATGTACAGAAAGTGGAAGAAGGAGAAAAAAACCCAATCACAAACCATGTACTACTATGAATTGTAACCTGCTTGGCACACACAGCTGTGTTTTATGTTGTGTGCTGGACAGAAGCGAAGGAACTGGATGCCTGCATGGAAAAGATGCTTTGCTGAGGTAGTGCTGTTGACTGTACAATCCTTACCAGGGGCCATCAGTAAGGCAGAATGTGACGCTTAAAACTGACCCTCCACACGTGAACGTTTCTGTTTGTGCTCAGAGGTGAAGGAGGTGCCTGATTGCTGACGCTCCCCAGTGCACAAAGGGAGAGCTGCAGATTCCCACCACTCTGACACAGGCCAGCCTCAGAAAGTCGGACCATTTACCTACTGGGTTCTTGCAGATGATCTGCACACACTTGGAACAGGCATAAAAGGGTGATGATTACTGAAATGGATTGATGGGTGCTTGGAGTAAAAATCTGTGTACCATTATTTTCAGAAGGATTATTTGGGTTCTGCGGAACACATTCTGAAGGTGAGCACACATTCTGGGGACTGAACCTTGCTGAATGAACTCATGGAGAAAAAAAAAAAAAAGAGAGAGATTGCAGAGCGTGTATTACCTTTGCTATATCCTCCTGGAACGCCACCAGGTTCAAGTAGGATATGTTGACCAGGTCTGGCCCGTAGACAACGGTGATCATCCGATTTTCCAGCCGGCCTCCCGCATTCCCAGCATCCAACAGTTCGCGCAGCTTGGGATCCTGCAGAGGAACACATGAGGAAATAATTACAAACCTTTTGCAAATACTTACACCAAAGGAGGTGGTTATTTTGGCAATCTCTTAGATTTCGAAAATTTGCGTTGTTTTGAACGTTTTTCGCATGATGGTACCTGCTTCTTTTCCATGTTCAAAACAGCATGTACTATTTAAATTATTAGATATATTCCATTCAGATTTAGGTTTTAGTCCTTTCTTTCTCATTTTATACCCAATGTAGAATCATTCAGGTTGGGAAAGACCTTTAAGGTCATTGAGCCCACCTGTCCCCCCATCACTAAACCACGTCCCCAAGCCCCACATGGTCTATTAAATCCCTCCGAGGACGGTGACTCAACCCCTTCCCCGGGCACCCTGTTCCAGTGCTTGATACAGAAATGACTGCACAACATTTCTGTGAAGGGAAGATAAATTCAAAGACTTTTATCACCTGTTAACAGGCTGAACCTCACAACAACACGAGGGTTTGAGTAAAAATTTCAGGTTACTTTGTGACTCAACTCGGTTCCGTTTCTATCAGGTTGCACTTTTACCAAGAAATGCACTCGGTGTTTCTCAAGCTGAGAAAACTACTTGCTCCTTGGCCTCGTGATGAAGTTTATAAAGGTAAAGAGAGATGAAAAGATGCCCTCTGTGGCTGCATTCAATCCTTTGAAAAGACGCAGCGCAATCTGAAAGCTCAGGTTTCCTAAAAGGCAAGATTTTTCAGTCTGGTGCAAATACTGACAAATGGCCAGCAAACAGAACCCCCACGGGAAGAGACTCTGTGTAGGGCTCAGATTATTTCAAAAGTGACACAAAAATATCCTGCAGTTTAAGTTTTGCTCTACCATGAATCTTTTCCCCCCACTGGCTGCATGTTTAGTGTTCATGGTACTTCTTAATATTTCATAACTTTCTGAATAAGCATCTAAATTTCCACCAACTGACACAAATTAAATTTAATGAAAGAGGGCACCAAGATGATAAAAAGTGTTATTTTTTTCATGGATCTCAGAGGAAATTCTGTATCAACCAGAGCTCAGCCTAAAGGCCATCTCCTGACTGGTGTCACAGCTGCCTGTAGGCAGTGGAGTTTAAGGGTAGGTTCACCAGATACCTCACCAGGGTCAGGAAAGCATTTTGGAGGATGAGGCAGAAACTGCAAAGAAAGCACAAGGCTGTTTTATAACGCTGAGGGAGTCTCTTAAATGCTGGGTATGATGGCAAGTGTTGCAGGAAAACAGAGAGAATCATCCCATTTCAGGGCTCTGTGAGGAAGGAATATGATTGTGCTCCAAGACAAAGACGGTTTCATGGGTAAACAAGTTAATCACAGGCTTTCACAGAAGAGAAAAACACGAGAGGGATATAAAAACGGTAGTTGTGTTCCAGAGATGAGGAGACAAAAAATAAGGGTCTCATTCAGATGTAGAAGAAGAGCACCAGAAATGGCCTGAAGTTGCCAAGTTGGTGTATTACTAGACGGGTTACTTTCCTTTTTTATTTACAGGCTGGAAGTTCCAAAGCTTTGTTTTATGTCTGTGGGAGATGAGAATTCATCTACTCTTCACTCTCCCCAGAATCAGACAGATAAATGCGTCCGCTCAAGGGCCTGTCTGGGAACGGCACCGTCCTCTGTGAGCTCCAAGCGAGCAGGGTTGTCTATGTGGCTTCACTCTCTTCCAGGGAATTGTCATTCCTCTCCTCCTCTCCCTGGCTGAACCTCTGGCTCACAGTTTCCCTGCCGATGATGGACGGCAATCACACCAACAAAGGAGGAGAGCTGATAACCTTCTCCTTTCGTGTTTACAGTCGACCACAGGATGTGTCAGTGATGAATCAGCCTCCAGTCAGACTGAGGGAGAGAGGCATTAGCCACGCACCAGAGTGAAAGAAAAGAAACATATTTGAAACGGGATGCTTTTTCAAAGCAAATTCATCAAAAGGGGAGTTATCTGGGACTGGCTCGGGAAGGTTTTCACAAGTGCAGAGTAAGTGGCAAATCAAGCAAGCGCGACTATGAATTCGGTTTTCCAAATCAAAGGCGCTTTCTCCAGGTTTTAAAGGCAAGAAATTAAGACAGCCCATCCCCTTTGGGCTGCTGGGTTTGAATGACTCAAATGCTGAACTCCTCTGGTCTGTTCAAGAGTTGTCTGACAAAGTTTGAAGCGGAGGGTCCTTTCCAGCACTGCTTTCTCCTGTCCTCATCCAGCACCTGCTGACAGAGGGCACACACCGTGTGTCCTGGGCTCTCTCAGTGCAACCTGCTGTGTGCTCCACAGGCTTAAAGTAGATATTTTATAGATATATATTTTTTAAATTTTTTATTTTCAAGTTCAGTGAAAGAGAATAATTTCGATACCAACGTGATCCACAGCCTTTTTGACCCCTGCCATGGGTGTATTTGCCCTTCTAGGGTGACAGATGCACTTGCCAAGAACAACTCATCCCTTAGCTGATGATCCAGGTCGTATTATTTAGTCCTTAGATGTGAAGTTCTCAAACTCAGGGTACCAAAGCACACTGTTAACCTCTCCACATGAACAGCTCTGCTCCCTTATTACCACAATTAGCTGCAGACACTCCTAAGGAGATGAGCAAAATATCCTTTATCAACATCTTGAAGACTATCAAAGCTCTATGAATCAAAGGCCTTTTAAAATGTCAGCGAGTTTCCCTGTGGAGATGATAGGAAAGCACATGGAAAAATAAAAAAAAAAAAAAAAAAAAAACAACTAACCAAGCAGCAAGACCAAATTTAGCAGATATTCAGAAGAATTATGCCTATTTACTATTGATGACAGTAACTTCTGGAACACCTGGGCTGCTGAGGTTCTGTCAGGTTCAGGAACGTGCCCGTGGGATGCCCAATAAAGAGCAGGATATTGGCCATACCCACATAACTCAAGAGTTCACTTTGTAGGGTAATAAATTCTGACATTAACTGATGTCAGAAAACATCGAAACATTTTGATGCTTTCTGACAAAGGAACATCTTTTTGACTCATTCAGTCAAAAGGCCTGAGGGGCAGCTTGTTTTTTCTCTCCTCCACTGAAGTCCAGAAGCAGCTTCAGCTCAAGGACTGACCCTGGAACCAGGTCAGGAAAACCAGTGTTTGGGATGGGACACTTCAGTGCCTCAAGCATTGACATTCCCAGAGGAAGATGGAACTTGTCACCTCCTCCGTATTTGCCTGCTCACGAGGATGGCATTGGCAGCCAAAGTTCTTTAGAATCTACGAAAAATCAAGTTTAGTCATGTTAAATTAAGGCCAGAGCTGGTCAAGAGGGCTGTCTGCTCATTTGGTAAAAAAACCTTCTCTATTTGGTTCTGTTGTCTTGAGAAAATTATCATAGAAAACCACACCTTAAATCAGCCTGAAACAAAACCAGAAAATATATAAAAAAAAAAGGCCAGAAACTTTAAATAAAATAATAATAATAAAAAAAGCTTAAGGCATTTCTGCAATTTTCATGAACAAATACAGGGTAATGATATTTTGTTAGAAACCAAGATTCTGTGGACAGAAGGATAAAAACGGATTTCAATCAGACTTCCAAAACTTTCTCCTGTTAAGATTTTGCTGGAAATCATAAGAATAATGTAAATTTAAAGAGGCAACTCAGCCACACTGCTGCCAACCTCTGTGAGGGCTGCTTTCCACTGTGGTTGGTGTATTAAAGTGCAGCTCTGAACCCCAAAATCCCAATTAGGGTGTGCTCTGCAAATGCCCTAACATCCTTTAATAGAATCACCAGCTCTTGAAAGTTTTTCTTTCCTGAAAACTAATACTAATAATACATTTTGCTGTTGATTTCTAACTTACATTCATAGCTATAAGGGTGCTTCGAAATTCCCCTGGACTCTACAGTCATAATCCCCAAAGGCTATAGTTATGTCCTGATAACTTCAGGAGAGACTGGAAACAGAAATGGCTACAGCCTTTCATCTCAGTTTCCTTCTCTTCAGAACCAGATTTCCAAACACTCCAAACTGCATTTATATTTTTCTGGCTCTTTACGTATCCCAGGAGAGGGAATGCAGGGGGGAAAGAAGCATAATTAGATAGCTACATATGCAAAGAGTTTTCCAGGAAACGCTCGAGTTTGAGATTAAATTAAGTGAAGAACCTTGCTAAAATAGGACTTTACATTGGAACTCTGTCAGAGGCAGAACTCCCACAGATTTTCTTCAAATAGAAAAGCATCTTATCTGCAAGAATGCCTTACCACAGACTGTCTATCAACACAAATGTATGCACATGCACGTATGGCCAGCATGGGTATGTCATGTATTTGACCCAGATATCAAAATACCAGCTCTTAACCCTTTAAGTTGCTGGTTTAGGGGCACCATAAATAAATCCTAAGTGACTCTCAAAACCAGACCACTTCCCCCCAAGTGATGACTGGAGTGATCCAACCAACCTCTGCAGTGCCGCCCAGCACAGGAGACCAAATCAGGGCAGGAACTGCTCTCTAAGGCTCTGTTGCAATGGTTTTGCACCACCTGTGGTAGCCAAAGCTCTGGTCTGCAACACTTCTTGGGTCCGTGGAGATCCCTAATTGTTGCTTCTCATCTTTGTATCTACAGTGCTTCATCTTGTCCAGTCACTCCCCCTGCATGCCCAGCCAAGCGAGGAGCGCAGCACCTCCCTAGGGAAGTGTTTGCCCCTCTCCCCGCGTCAGCCAGGGGGGATTTTCCCACCTGGAGCCTGCTCTCTGCCTCCAAAGGGAACAAGGCACAGGTGCTGCTGGTTCCAGGACACGTCTGGGTTGCAGGTGAGACAATCCCACAGCAAGTGTCCCACCCCAGAGGGCCCATCACTCTGTGTGGCTTGCAGAGCAGCAGTGAAGGGCTGCAGACACAATGTTCCTGCTAACTGGCTTAAATTCACTGCCAACAATCCCCACCCAGACCTCAGAGCTGCTTCAAACACCCTTTCTGTCACACTGAGCCACAGGAGAGGGCTCAGAACGTCCCAACAAGTGGATCGACA